CCCGCCTGGCGCTGCCTACCAAACGGTCTGAGCGCGTGGCAAGTTTCTGAGAACAGCGCGGGCGAGGCAGCGGAGCGGTCTAGCTATCCCAGGAGTGACAGGAGCGGCGAGCGGCGAGGAGCGGCCCTCCGTGAGGATTTAGGTCTTGCTTTGTGTGCTTAGGTTCATGCCGGTGTCTCCTCCCGGCTTTTTCCGTCAGGTCTGCAGAGGCCTGACCTCGTGTGACGGGCTTCGCCTTGTCACGCGGCAGTGGGCCGGAAACCCAGAGGGGCACTCGCTGGAGTGGTTTTTCCACATACCTTTCACGTTTTAAATACCATCCGCCTCTGAAGCCCTTCCCGGCCTGTCGGGCCGAGAGCGTGAGAGCCACACTGTGTGCAGGCCAGACGGGAGCCTCCTTCCGAGCGGGAACGGGCGTTGCGCTCCGCGTCCGAGCGCCGGGCTCGGTCCTGCCCTCGAGTCTTTGTAGCTGTTGTGTTGGGTCGAGGTGTGGATGCCCTGCCCTCCCGGGGCTGACAGTCCGGCCAGGGAGGTAGACCCGCCGGCCTGACAAGCGAGGTGTCAGGGAGGTGCGCGTCCCAAAAGCAGTAGCGTGGGGCTGGCGGGCAGCGGCCTGGGCACTATGGGGGTAGGACACGGGGGTGCTCGTGCTGAGCCCTGATCACGAACGTACGCTCACCTGGGGGGAGTGTTCCGCGAGGAGGAAGCGAATTCCAGGGAATTCGAGGGAGAAGACCATGCAGAGGGTGGGATGTGACTCCCGGATGTATGAGAAACTGCAGGACACCCTGGGAGCGCCCCAGATTCGGACCGGAAGGCCAGGTGCGCTCCACAGCCAAAGCCATCCCAAGGGCATGACGGCGTGTGCCGTCCTCCCCTCACCTGCCGACGCCCTCCCTGCAACCCTTCAGGGGCTGGATTAGAGGCCTAGGATTTCAGACACTTTAAACCTTTCATTTGGCATATAATACTACAGAGCAAGTAAGCCAAAGGAGTTAAAAAAGATTTAAAAATTCATTTCCTCTTAGGGATGCTGCTTGCTTTCTAAGAAAATGAACGAGTAAGGGGCACCTGGGTGGCTCAGTCGGTTGAGCGTCAGACTTCAACTCAGGTCATGATCTCATAGTTTGTGAGTTCGAGCAGCTCCGTCAGGCTCTGTGACAGACTCATTGGGCCTCCTTCATTCTGTGTCTCCCCTCTGAAGCCCTCCTGCTCATTTCACTCATTGTCTCTCTCTGTCTCTCAATCATAATTAAACGTTAAAAAAATTAAAAGAAAATGAATGAATAAAAAATGTCACGTTTCAGTACCTGATCGTAAGATGCTACGTGAAAACAAGGATGAACTTTTTTTTTTAACGTTTATTTTTGAGAGAGAGACAGAGCACAAGCAGGAGAGGTTCAGAGACAGGGAGACACAGAATTCAAGGCAGGCTCCAGGCTCTGAGCTGTCAGCACAGAGCCTGACATGGGGCTCAAACTCATCAGCTGTGAGATCATGACCTGAGCAGAAGTCCCACACTTAATCGACTGAGCAACCCAGGCTCCCCCAAGGATGAACTCTTACAGCTGAGAGGATAGTTGGGCGGGGAGAGGGCACTTGGAACAACATAGAACAAACAAAGTATTGTCAGTATCCCAGAATGAAAACAACAAGAATCAGCACGACCCTGCCCCCCCCCCTCCATTTTCTTATATCTATGTGGCATGTACTAGTGGCAACCACAAGGGAAAACCACCTAGGTTGGCTTATAGAGATCAAAGATGGGAGATCTTTTTTAGCCAAGGCTCTAGGAGAATATAATCTATAAGATTAATTCACAGCAAGATTAGGTTTGCAGAGAAAGGTACCATCAGCAAGCTAAGGAGAGATGAATGAAACAGGAGCTCTTGGATTAACCACTATGCAGGATTGTTTGTGGCACAGTGGCCCCATCGAAGCACAGATAATCGAGAGTCACTGAATATAAAGAAGCAGTGAAGTAGTAAGAATTGCCCAGCAGTAAAGATGCCTGGGTTTGAATGCTGGCTGCACCTCTTAATTAGTTGTGTGATTTGGGGTAAGTTACTTTACCTCTTCCAGTCTCCATCTCATCTGTAAAAGTGGCAATTATCATAAGATTGCTATGAGATAACTAAAGTAAACCAGTCAGCATAGTGCCTGGAACATAGTACTGTATATGGTTACTAAATGTTAGAAGCTATTAGACAAGATGTGGTTGAGAAAAGAGTCAATGAAGTGAGATACAGATCCATAGTAAGTGCCTAGCTTGGAATGGGTGTTAGGAAGAGAGCACTTTACCTCAACGAATTCAACAGTAAATTGGGATTCTACAGTGTCCAACGTGACTGATATTTTTAAAAAATTATATAGCTAAATGAATGTTATGCATGCCCTTCAAACAGTGGGGATGCCATTTTCCTCTATCCTCCCCTTGATGCTTTTAAAAGTAGATATGAATAATTGATATATTCTAAATATTATGCGATGTGAAAAAATATGTAGAACACTGCTATTTTATTAATCTGTAACATACGCTTTTAAGTAAAACAAGTATGTTTACTATGCAAACATAACCTCTAACCCCCATTTTCAACCAGACAGAGATCCCCCTGAATATCCTCTATATAAAAATTCTGCAGTCACTAATGCCTTCAGGCCCTCTTGGATCTCCCTTAGATTACCGCAGTCACCTTCTACCAGATCTCGTGGCCATCAGTCTTTTCTTCCATCTTTCTTTTTCCACACACTGCCAGTGTTGTCATTTTGAAAAATAAAGCTGATTATCTCACCCCCCTGCTTTAAAAGCTCTGTAAATTCCTGCTTACTGACCCAATTGTATACCTACTTCTTTATCCCACAATCCTTTTTCCTGTATGCTACCCATACTGAACTTCTTGAATTTTCTCAAATAAGTCTGACCTGACCTCCTCTCCGTATCACCTCATCCCTTAATAAACTTCCAGTCATAATAGAAAATGCAGTTCAAAGGAGACCTGAGAAACCTCAGCTCCTTCAGAGAGAAGTAAAGATTCCCTCCTCAAGGCTCCTGGATCAATTTATCATTATCAGTAGCAGTGGCACAATCACCATCATTCACTAACATATTGAAGTCTTATGTGCCAGGAGTTGGGATAAACACTTGGCTTGAATTTAGTCATTTAATTCTCACTTTACTGTCACCCCCCCCCCCATTTTTATAGTAACACTTGGAATAATATTGTTATTTTTATTTACATTTGTCTTTCCCACTAACTTCCAGGGATTCCTATTGTCATGGGATAAATCCTGGTAACTTCTATACCTTTCTAAGAGCCTGGAATATTGTAGGTGCTCAATAATTGTTTGCTGAAATAATGTATGAATATAAGCAATTCCACTCAGGGCTTTTGTACTTTTTCAAACAGCTGTTATTACTTAAAACTCTTATTTTGAAATTCCTTCAAAGTCTGGGGTACTTAGGAATGTCTTCAGTTGATAGGGAGATCTTCCTTGGAAAGAGATGTTAAGGCACTCAGAGCTAAATCTGGTGAATAAGGTGTCTGAGTCATATCATTTATTCCTCAAAGAATAACAAAATAGTTTAATAGACCGATTTTTCTTGTGTAGCTTACAAGCCAGCTCTAAATCATTTCAAAAAAAAGTTTTGAATAATGGTGTCATTACTGGAATAAATTTATAGCCTCCCAAAGTATTCGAAGAGTAACATTCACTTGGAAATATAAATTTTGATATGCCTGTTATCTTATGCATGTATAAAAAAGACCAAAAAAACCCCACACCTTATATGCTCTTTCAGACCAGAATATAAGTAAAGGTACACCTGTGTAAAACCCAACGTATGAAAATTCAAATACTACAGAATTAGAGGGTAGTCATCCACTTCGTGGGGTATCCATAACATGCCAGGCGCTGTGCTAGGAGGTGGAGATGCAAGATAAATATAGTCTCTTGTCCTCAGGGAATTTCTAGCATAGTAATGAATTCATCATTAAAAATAATTCACTGAAGTGAATTGCATTTTAACATGTAGCTTCAGAAATCACATTTGGTGTAAAGGGAGGTGCAGACAATCTGTTGTAAGTGAGGGGTTGTGAAGAGGGACAGGATTAGTTAAAAAACCTTTCTTAGAATAAATTAGCTTCAGTGGGGGGCTTTAAAAGAAAAAAAACTTGGTACAGATCGGTGGAGAAAAGAGAGGTGGACAATTAGGACTTAACTCAGCCAAGGAAATAATCCAAAGGTTGCTTGGTGAACATGGAGGCAGAGCAGAAAGAGATGGATTGTCTTGAGGGATATCTCCTAGAGGTCATGAACGGAGCCCTGATGAAACATTTCTCCCTTACATCAGAGAACAGGACTCTTGTGACCATGTTTTCTAGATTCATGGTCATTTCCCACTGGACAGTGCTAGATAAACATTGATTCCATCTCTCCAAACTTCGTTTTTCATGTTTCCATGCTAATAGCCTTCTACTGACTCAAGTAGATGGAGACAAATATGTAAACAGATAACTGCAACACAAACATATACAGGAATCTCACTTAATCTAATATCCCCTACTATTTTCCTATGTCCTTTAATTTTTTTTGTATATTTTTAAGAAGTTTTTATTTATTTTGAGACAGAGACAGCACGAGTGGGGAGGGGCAGAGAGAGGGAGAGATAATCCCAAGCAGGCTCTGCATCACCAGCACAGAGCCCAACATGGGACTCGAACCCACAAATCGCGAGATCCTGACCTGAGCCGAAACCAGAAGTTGGAAGCTCAACTGAGCCACCCACGCCACGTGCCCCTTGCTACGTCCTTTTAGTACATCCACACCATACCACTGTTACTCTTGCTATAATTTCTCCAGACCATTCAAGGTGTCAGGAAAGGGTTTGATCTTTAGCAATACCAAAGAAATAGTTCTCTATATCCTTTTTATTTTCTTTGGTCACTTTTCTCCAGCACTGTTTTCTCTTTTCTCTCCAGCTTTTGGCCCTTTTCACAAGGATGGAAATGCTACTGTTTTGTGTCTGGGCCCTGCTGGCTTTGAACCCTGGCCCAGGTAAGGCTATTTGGGATAGTTTCTTTAGTCAGTATGTGCCAAAGTGCAGGTGGCTGGTCAGTAAGAGTATAAGAAGTACTGAATGGGGCAAAAATATACTATTCATTTGTCTGGACCCTTGGGAGAGATTCCTATTTTTGGATCATTAGGACACAGAATCTGTAGGTGTCTCTAGCTTATAATTGGGGAACCCAAATTGAGGAACAGGATAACAAACCACCAGAGAAAACTCTCCCCTAAGAAATATGCCTTCTCTCTTTGGCCCCCTGCCAGCCCAGGACTGTCCTAGTTTTCTGTTCTTAAGAATATTTTTACTTCTTTGTTGCCACCTTTTGTGTCATGAAGTTGCAATAGCGTCTTGATAGGAGAGGACCCATAGCTTAATTGTGAGGAGCGAGTGCTCTAGACGGCAAGAAAGGAACTGGAGCCTTAGTGGGTAACACTGCTACATGAGTTGTGTATTCCTAGAAGGGCCCAGTGTTTGGTAGACGAAACAGATGGTGGACATGGCGTAGCTAAAGGGGACCTGTGGGGAAGCTTCCAGAAGACTGTGCCTCTCACCTACATAAGGCATCTGAAAGTTTTACCTGATGTCTCTCTCATTGCACCAGAGATTTCCCTAACAGACTAAACTCTTAAGCATCCAAAAACATGTTGCCTTAGTACCAAAGCAAAAAAGGAATGGTCTTATTTTGAGAAGAGGTGAAAAATTCTGGGAAATGAATGACCCTAGGAGTCACCTTTAGGCTAGTGGGTTTCGTAATTCAGCGTGCATAAGGATCATCAGGAGTGCTTGTTCTGTTCACTGCGTATTTCCACATCCCACCTTCACAAGTTCTTAATCATTCAGTCTGAGGTGGAGCTAGAGTCTGTAGTTTTACAAGCATTCCAGGTGATTCTGGTGAAGGCAATTCTTAGACCATAATTTCAGAGAAACACTGATTTGAGGTGTAAGCACAGAGCTCTTTTCTCTAGGGCCTACTAAGCCCTTGAGGGCCCTCAGCAGCCAGTCCTGGGAGCTTCTAAGACATCTGGAAGCTTAGGAAGAGAATGGTTTCCTTGGCATGATTTTTAACAACTCTGTAGTTTCCAAGGTGACACTAATGGAGAAACCAAGATTACTAGAAAGATAATGAATGCAGGGAATGGTGGAATCAGGGTTCTACCTGTTCATTAAGGGTCTTTTTCTTGTCTGGTTCTTTGTAACTTTTTCTTCAGGGTAGGTTTCCTATTTCTAACCTACAAATTGATAGACTAGGCCTTCTTGATAGACTAGGGTCTTGTGGTCCTCACCAAAGTCTTTGGCATATGTATGTGGTTGATCATTTCAGGAGCAACTGAAGAGATATTTGAGGTTTCCATTTGGCCAGATCAGGCCCTGGTAAAGCTTGGACAGTCCCTAATGATCAACTGCAGCACTACCTGTCCAGACCCAGGACCCGGTGGAATTGAGACTTACTTAAAGAAAACCCAGGTGGACAAAGGACCTCAGTGGAAGGAGTTTCTTCTGGAGGATGTCACAGAGAATTCTGTTCTGCAGTGCTTCTTCTCTTGTGCAGGGATCCAAAAGGACACAAGCCTTGACATCACTGTGTATCGTGAGTAGGGCTGAGGAGGAAGGGAAGACTGGGGGAACATGACTATGTCTTACTTAGGGAAAAATTAGAGATTTCTTTTGGGGGAGACAATTTGGGCCCTTAGTAGAGATTTCTGTTATACTGCAGGAATTCTAGAGCCAATTACTTCTATTTCCCTTTGGTGAAGGATTTTAAATTAGGAGCAGACCACAGAGGGCATCCAGACATCGTGCTTGAGAATATGTTCAGGTATAGAAGGCATATACTAATAATGCCAGCTTATAAATGATCAAAAAAGTATACAACTTGTGCTAAATTATTGGCACAAGTTCTTAGAATAAATAGGGACTGGAAAAAGGAGGGTCTCTGTCTCCATGGAAGAGGAGGCTCTTGAGCTTCACTCCTGCAGAATGGTAAGGATTTGAAGTGAAGGGCATGGGTAAGGAAGATCTTTCAGGTGGGCAAATAGCATTGGCAAGGATATGGCCACAAGAGTAAGTGTGATCTCTTTGGGGTAAAAGCTTGGTAGACTAGGGTGTAGTTTTTGTGTGATGCTAAGGAGCTCCTCAGAAGCTGCTCATGCCTCTGAAGCACCTCTGGTAAGAGATAAAAGTTCTCCAGAATGGCAGCAACAATCAACGCAAGGGACCTGCCCCTCAACAGTCACATTTCTTGGCTATGACTTTAGCCACCTTTGATGGGCAGAAGAAGAGCCAGAAGACTGACTTGTCTTATGTAGGGCAGGGTTGGCAGAAAGCTGACACAGTTGATCGGATGGTTTAAGAGTAACGGTCACCTTGTATCACCAGCTTTCTGTCCTATACCATTTCTTTCTGGAGAGGTGAGTAGCCTTTTCTCATCAAGCCCACCTTTTTCTCTTAAAGAGCCACCCGAGCAGGTGATCCTGGAGCTGCAGCCTGCATGGGTAGCCATGGATGAAGCCTTCACAGTGAAGTGCCATGTGCCCAGTGTAGCACCCCTGGAGAACCTTACCCTTACCCTTCTCCAGGGTAACCAGGAACTACACAGAAAGGACTTTATGAACTTGGCTGTGGCCTCCCAAAGAGCTGAGATCACCATCAATGTCAAAGCCCAAAGGGAAGACGATAGGTGCAATTTCTCCTGCCGTGCAGAACTGGACTTGAGTTCACATGGTGGAGGGCTCCTTCACAGTAGCTCAGCCATCAAGGTACTCCGGATCTTTGGTGAGTCAGAGCCCAGGTATGGAAGGATCCTGAGGCTCAGTTTCTTTATCTTACCTTGGCCTTTTGGGACTAAGTTCCCACAGAGTTTAGGATTAGGGTGTGAGAGTAATTGAGCCCCATCTTTACCTGGGCTGTAATCTTACCCTGGGGGACAGAGAGCTTTAAGCCACACTCCCTTCCTAAATTGTGGGGTCCTATATAGCACATGATTTATCATGGCTTTTCTCCTTTCTTTCCTTTTCTTCATTTTTTGGCAGAATTCTCTGAGAGTCCCCAAATCTGGGTCTCCTCACTTTTGGAGATTGGGATGGCAGAGGCTGTGAGCTGCGAGTTGGCTAGAGTGTTCCCCGCCAGAGAGGTAATGTTCCACATGTTCCTGGGAGACCAAGAGCTGAGCCTGTTTGTCTCCTGGAAGGGAGACACAGCATGGGCCAATGCCACAGTTCGGGCCATGGAGACTGGTGATCAGGAGCTGTCTTGCCTTGTATCTCTGGGTCCAATGGAACAGAAAACAAGAGAGCCAGTGCATGTCTATAGTAAGTGAGCTGCCTCTTCCCTTCCTCACAAGGGTTCTCTGCCACTGAAACTTCCACAGTAAATCCTTGGTGGTTCCACTGCAAATATCCCTATTAACCTTTCCTCGGTACACTCTCATGTGATCTTTCTCTGATGAGTGCAGGCAGGTTGGAGACATGCATTGAGACAGTAGTTGTGTTCAGCCTTCACCGTTTCTTCTGGCCATCTTACTTACAGAGTGATTATAGGTCCTTCAGCTTGTTTCTGGGAACAACTTTTTGAGGTGGGGAGGAAATTTATAAGATGAAAACCCATCTTGCTGTCCTTGCCATAGAGGCAATAGCCAAATGTATGGACACTGCATTTGTCATAAGAAGAGCTCTCAAATTCCCAAATCTCACTGCTCTTGCCATTCAGCACAGAAGCAGTAGGGTATCCAAAGTTTTCCCTGTCTTATCTGCCTAGATACCATACCATCAGAAGCAAGAGTATAGAACTGGCTGAGAATTTTGAGAAATATGTTTGATTCTCTCTTTCCTTTTCTTATAGGCTTCCCTCCACCAATCCTAGAGATAGAAGAATTATACCCATTGGCAGGGACAGACATTAATGTGACCTGTTTGGGGCATGTGTTAACATCACCCAGCCCTACTCTTCGGCTTAAGGGAGCCCCGGATCTCCCTGCCCCTGGGGAACCTGCCTGGCTTTTACTTACCACCAGGGAGGAAGATAACGGCCGAAATTTCTCCTGTGAGGCCTCTTTGGAGGTTCAGGGTCAGCGGTTGAGCAAAACCACTGCGGTCCAGCTCCATGTCTTATGTGAGTAGAGGCCTGATCTTTCTTGTCAAAACAAGGATTATTATTAGTCTCTCATCTCCAGGGTTCTTGGCCAGCAACTTCATTATTAGAGTTGCTACACTTTTCTCATTAAAATAAAACATCAAAGGGTGAAATAAAATTAAAGCTCCCCAAGCTTACATTATCCCCAGGAAAGTAAGCTGAGAGAAACATGAGGGGGACCTGGGAACGGAAAAGAGAATGCAGGGTGATTAGCTGGTATTAGTTGAGGGTTGATGGCTGAGAACACAGGAAGTGATAGTTGGAGTTTATGCTGAGGAGGGAAATTTTCATATAAAAATCTGTGTTTTTGAAAAGTAGAAAATCCTTCATCTCTGGGTTCGCCCCTACCCATCTCCTCACTCACTGAGAAGCAAAGATGGGAAGCAGGGAAGCCAGCATTGATAGGACAGGCCAGATCATTGAGTCTGAATCCATTAAGATGCCTTTGCTGCATCTCTGACTCCTTGCCCCTAGAAAATGGAAGACAGAAGAGTGCCCCAAAGCAGGCAACAGTGCTCCTTCCCTTGGGAAGTAAAGCTGTCAGGTGGGAGGGACACAGCTTTTGGATTAGGGGAGAGGAAGCTAAGCATCTCAGTGAAGAAGGAATGTGGCACACTGAGCTCAGCTCCTTGGGGGACTCTCTTTTCCAGACAAGCCCCGGTTAGAGGAATCTGACTGCCCTGGCAACCAGACGTGGGTGAAAGGGACAGAGCAGCTGCTTGCCTGCGTCCCAAAGGGAAACCCAACTCCAACCTTGGTGTGTACCTGGAATGGAGTGATATTCAACTTTGAAGTGCCACGGAAAGCAACCCAGAACCACACAGGAACCTACTGCTGCACAGCCTCTAACCAACTGGGCTCTGTTAGCAAAGACATTGCTGTCATCGTTCGAGGTGACTGTGGCTTTCCTGCTGCCAGGCCTAGGATGGAAATGCCCAAGGGGTTTGGGATTCTTACCCAAATAGGGAAAGAAGAAAAATTTCAGTGGGTAGGGAAGGGTGAGACTGAGAGGTGGGCATGGTAAGCTGGAGGGGGGGGGATTCTCTTGCCCTCTTGACCCTCCCAATTCTCTGTCTTCTGTGCTTGGGCAGGACTGGATGAAGGAATCAGCTCCACCATCTTTGTCATCATTATTGTCGCTCTTGGAGTGGGTGTAATCACCATAGCACTGTATTTGAACTACCGGCCTTGCAAAATAGAGAGGCGGAAATTGCCCTATAGGCAGAAAGAGAAGAACAAAGAGGAGGAAAGCCAGTTTGCTGTTCAGCAAGCAGAAAAATGCAATGCACATAATTGTTAAATGGAAACAGCTATTTGTTTGAAAGCAACCTCTACTCCTGGGGTTTCCTACGGGAGGAAAGTCGGGGAGGAAAAAGGAAGAGACATTACCCTTTGTGTTCTACAGTCCCATAAAACAGTGTTTCAGACCCCCATGTCCCTTGTATCTCATCCATCCACAAGCTCAGCTCCTCTGAGTTCATTCTAGTCACCAGAATTTCAGTCTCAGTGTCCAGCTAATGAGAGGGCCTCTTGCTTCTTACTGTGTGCTTAATCAGTCCACTCACTCCCAAAAGAAAGCCCTTTGCTTTCAACATCAGACTGAAGAGATAGAAATATCTCAGAAATGCAACTCATTTCTCATGGTTTCTTCATGACTAAGTGGGAACCAGTTTTTTAGTCCACAGAGGACTTCAAAGGGAGTACCAAACAAAGAGATAGGAATCAGAACCTATTCCTACCTACACATTCCCCTGATCCCCTAACCTGAGGTTCTGGAGTGCCGGCTCCCAGAGCTGAGTTTGATGACACCATTAAGGGTCAGTAGCTGGCTTCAACTCACTAGAGGAGTGTAAAAGTCATAAACTCCACATTGGGTCAGACAAGCAGCTTACCTAGCCCCAGAAGTGGAAGTTAGAGTTCTTCCATTAAATTGCCCTCATAGGTTAAGGGCTCCAAACATCTCTGAATTCATTTTCATAATCCATTATAAAGTGATCATCTGTGAGTTCACATTTGACATATTAATTTTTTTTCTCCATATAGGCTCTAAGGCTAGAGTTCCAATGGTTATTCTCCCTTCCCATAAAGAAGTACATATTTTTGTATGTCTGAAAACTATTTCCTTTAAGCTTCGGGACAACTCCTGCTGTGACAATGTTCACCATATGATTTCATGATTCAGCTTCCTTCTCTGTTCTTTGGAAAAAATATATTCACCCCACAGAAGACATGAAAAATCATAAAACCAGATCTTTTCTCCTAAATCAGTCATGTATGGGTCACTGAAATGTTGGATATGGTAAAAAAATAAAAGTGATTTTACAATATCTGAAAGTATTTCTTTTCTGTGTCATTTTTGAAAACTTTTATTAAGCCACATGGTTGCATTTTGAGTACAGTTTCTAAGAAAAGAATGTCAAGTCGGTAGCACAAACAACTAGCCCAGGGCAGGTGGTGTGTTGGCTCAGGGCAGCAGCCTATTTGACCTGCCCTTGAAACTAAAGTTCAGACCTCAAGATAGAGGTCTACAGCCTTCCAAATAGAAGACACTAGCTGGAAAGAATACAGCATCAGGCATCAAAGTAAAAAGATTCATTCTTTCCAGACCTCTGAGTCTGGGTTATGGGTTAGGTATAAAAATAACACTTTGATTTCAATACATACAAGGCAGTGGAGATATAAGGGTGGACAAAACTGTGTCCCTGCCTTCTACAAGCTTACAGTCACTGAGGGAAGCCAGAGCAAGTCAACAGGAAGTCACAATTGCACCTTAACACTGGGAAAACAGGTCTTTATAAGAATGCCTAACTCAGGATCAAGGAAAAAAGCTTCTTGGGAGGAAACTGGAAATAATTTGTTTGATTTTGCAAAAGAGCATCCCATCCCCCACCCCCTCCAAATGACCTCAGCCTCCATTTTTCCACTCAATACAGCAGCCATCACTCTCTCATCATGTAATATAACTTGCTCACTTTTCTGAATTGAATACTTAAGGAAATAAGGAAGTGAGTTTAAAAGAAAAGAGTATAGAGCAGCCTGATGCAGCAATCTCCAGCCATTTCAGTGTCTTGAGATCAGCTGCATCAGGTCTGTGGTTCTCTCACTGAGCAAACCCCACTTCAAGGCCCCCCATGCCCTGAGGCACAGTGGAGGTTCCTGCCTTTGCTTCTTACTGCCACATGGTGTCACTGTTGACAGTCCCACACAGTCCATAAAACCTGGTGCTTCTGCAGATCCAGGTTCCCAGGTCCTCTACCATGGATCTTTCTAGGAGGATGATTGGCTTCCTCAGGACTTGGTGCAGGTAGGGGTGATTCTCTGCATGAACTTGCAGGGTTACAGAGCTCACTACTGTGGACTAGCCATCCAGGATGGGTCTTCAGATTTCGGTAGGCCCTTTCCTGGGAAGATTTGAAACCTCTGTTCTCTCCCTTTCCTTCCCCAAGGATGCTGGGGTCAAGGAGTCAATTCTCCTAGTCAATTCTTCTAAGGGTAGCTGCCTTGTCTTCAGGGGACCCCCACCCCCTAAAAGGTTTGTTCTTTTCCTGAACAGTAGAGCAATCGGCTCACACTTAACTGCGGCTACCCTGATTATCTTCAGGGGAAGAGAACTACTTTTAATACTCCAAATATTTATCCTCTTAGGAAAGTCAAGATGACTTTCTGGTGTCTTTCTTTATCGACCCAAGAGAAAACAAGTTAAATCTTCAGTCAGGCTTCTTACTATAGGGAAAATAATACTATTTACCTATTATAGGATTATAGTTGGAAAGAAATGACATAGTACTTGTAAAAAACACTGGCATGGTATTGCACACATGTTCACAATATCAGCTTTTATTACACTAGCTGCTGGTGGTAATCATACCCATAATCATAATAAACTCAAAGGAAGAGTCAAAAAACCAGGTCACCCACGGAGGGCCGTCAAAAGCCACATACACCACTGACACTTCGTCTTTTCCATTGTGTTCTCTCTTCCTCTTCTATTCCTTTCCCTCTTCCTGTCTCTACTTTCCTCCTTTTTTGTTCCCTCAGATGTGGGACTACTAGTAGAATGACCAATTGTATCAGTTTGCACTGAGCTGAGGTGTTCTGAGACACTAAAATTAGGAAAGTCTCATGCTGATAGGGGTGAGCTGATGACCCTCATACTGATACCTCTAAAAGTATTTCTCACATTTGATGGGGGCCCCTGAATGAAAAAAGGTGTGAGGCACAGTGTCATGTTTGTTTGACCCAGAAGGCCAGGTTCGTGTAATTCTGAGGCAGACTTGTGAAGAAAGGGGAAAGTGTCAGTTCTGCTCTCAAATGTGTATAAAAAAAATCAAAACTCTGGGAATGCAAGCTGGTGCAGCCACTCTGGAAAACAGGATGGAGGTTCCTCAAAAAACTAAAAATAGAACTACCCTACGACCCAGCAATTGCACTACTAGGTATTTATCCAAGGGATACAGGGATGCTGTTTCGAAGGGACACATGCACCCCCATGTTTATAGCAGCACTATCAACAATAGCCAAAGTATGGAAACAGCCCAAATGTCCATCAATGGATGAATGGATAAAGAAGATGTGGTGTATACATATATACAATGGAGTATTACTCAGCAATCAAAAAGAATGAAATCTTGCCATTTGCAACTACGTGGATGCAACTGGAGGGTATTATGCTAAGTGAAATTTTTAGTCAGAGAAAGACAAATATCATAGGACTTCACTCATATGAGGACTTTAAGAGACTAAAACGATGAACATAAGAGAAGGGAAACAAAAACAATATAAACACAGGGAGGGGGACAAAACAGAAGAGACTCATAAATATGGAGAACAAACAGAGGGTTACTGGAGGGGATGTGGGAGGGGGGATGGGCTAAATGGGTAAGGGGCACTAAGGAATCCGCTCCTGAAATCATTGTTGCACTAGATGCTAATTGTTGCACTAGATAACTAATTTTAGATGTAAATTTTAAAAAATTAAATTAAATTTAAAAAAGAATCAAAACTCAATATATTGTTTTGGCAATGCTGATGGAAATGTTAACCTTAAAAATAAAACTTCCAGGGGCGCCTGGGTGGCTCAGTCGGTTAAGCGTCTGACTTTGGCTCAGGTCATGATCTCACGGTCTGTGAGTTCAAGCCCCGCGTTGGGCTCTGTGCTGACAGCTCAGAGCCTGGAGCCTGTTTCAGATTCTGTGTCTCCCTCTCTCTCTGCCCCTCCCCTGTTCATGCTCTGTCTCTCTCTGTCTCAAAAATAAATAAACGTTAAAAAAAATAAATAAATAAAACTTCCAGTTATTTTTACCAGCAAAAAATGGGTTTATTTGAGAACAGCTGAGAATTGTAATCCAGGACAAGTAATCTGTAGCAAAACTTATAGGCAAGTCTGCAGAACAAAGGAAAGGACCTGCTGCTTTACAGAGGAAAAGGGGGAGTCGGGAAGGCTGTTATAAACAAAAAGCCCATTAAAGTGAGAGTTGGAAATATAGTGGTTTCTCACTGGCTGAGCTGTGACTGTTTCTCATTGGCTGGGCTGTTGCTGGGACAGGAGGAAAGCCTTTTTTTCTCCTGCTGGGCTGGGAAAGCAGCATCCAGGTATAAAGTCTGTCTCCTATTGGGTCTGCAATTGCAGTGGTTGTGTGTGAAAGCCCCCCTGCCAGCCTCCCAATTCCTTTTTTTTTTTTTTAACGTTTATTTATTTTGAGAGAGAGAGAGAGAGACAAAGTGAGAAAGAGAGAGCATGGCCGAGGGTGCGTGCGCGCACGCGCGTGCACACACACACACACACACACACACACACAAAGGAGGGACAGAGAGAGGGAGAGAGAATCCCAAGCAGGTTCCCTGCTGTCAGACTGAGGGCTTGAACTCATGATCCGTGAGATCATGACTTGAGCCAAAATCAGGAGTCAGATGCTTAAGTCACTGAGCCACCCAGGCACCCAATTCCTTTCTAAACAAGATTTCCTTTTACTAGTTTGCACATTTCCCTCTTATGATCAAGATCTTTCTTTGAAAGTGTCACTGATCAAGAGTCAGTTTCTCCACATTTAGTGGTTTTCTCAGTACCAGGAAGGACCCTTCCCAGTTGTCATGTCCTAAGTAGGAGGGAAAGCGCCTAGTGGTTGGCAACCACTCAAACCACATTTGAGCAGCAAGGAAGATTAGGAGGGAGAGAACTGTCAGGTACTTCCTATCTGTAGTCCCTATCTACCAAGACTGTAATTACGCACTGGAGATCATCTCCAAGCACTGAGCCAGCATCACCTTATCGGGTACATCATTTTTAGAAGCCTGATAGGC